CTCTTCGAGTTGTGTATAGCGAACATGACAAAACATACATACAACATAATCAATACCTTACCCTTCCCGAACCACATAAACAAACGAACTACGGGCTGCGCACCCGTGCCCTCACGGTAAGTCAATGGGACATGGTCCCTGGTGCCTCCATGGGTACCATTTGTGTACTTTGCCTTGGGCACTGGGCCCCTGTAATAAAAAGGAATTCTTCTCAAAAGAAAGAAAAACAGAAACAAACAGAGTTTTTTTTTTTTTTTTTTTCCCCTTTTTCTTTTCCCCCCTTAGAAAACGACCCCAAGGCAGGGGCTAAGTGCCATTATCAAACAATACTGGAAATAAAATCTGAATCTGGACGTCCTTGTTGAGAGAGGAAGAAAAGCCGATCAGTCCCGAATTTCTGCACAGCTCCAGTGCAACCCTCCGTGCCAGTGGCACCTTGCCCCAGCGGGAGCAGAATCGGCGGAGCAGCGGCATGGGTCATAGGGAGATCCATGGCGGGAACAGCGCAAAAGCCAGCGGAACTTGCGCGCGAGCAGTCGGAACTATTCCTTGGGCAAGGTCCCACTTGCACAGATTAGGAGATTTCGGCCGTTGATCTTTGCTAGCTACGGTCAGTATCTCTTAATTCGTGCAAGTGGGACCTAGCCCCTTGCTTTGCTGAAAGTGACGATTTGGCTTGCGTCGCGCAGAGACGCCGCGCTGGTCCCGCCAAGACACCCGCGACTGGTTGCGCGGACAAGCGCCGTACTGGTCGCGCGCTTACCAGAGAGTTCATGCGGTAAGATTTTCCGCCCCCGCGCGGGAAGCCGACCGTTCGTCGCGCGCAGTGTCTCCACAGGCGCAGGACCAGGCCGGGGGGTCCACACGTGGCGCGCAGTGGCCTAGATACCAAGCACCTGCTGCGCGTGTAAAGCGCACGCCGGAGAGAGCGGGTGCGGGCGGGCGACAGGGAGGGTCTCGCGCGGGCGAGAGCTTTGGGAGGGGTCAGCAGAGGGGGGGGAGAAGGCCGCGCGCGCGTATCGCGGATGGGGTGGGGAAAGGAAGAGGAAGGGGGGGGGGAAGGGGGGATGGAGGGGGGCGGTAACAGAGGGGCGGGGTCTGCAGCAGAGAGCGCGAGGCCGCGCGCACCCAACGGGGACCCAGTCATCACTCATCCTCCGTACCTGGTCGTGTTGGGAGTCAGATACGGACAGGCCGAATAGGTTAAAGTGCGCCAGGCGAGAAAGAGGCGGTTTCGACTCCCCTCCTCCCCCTCTCCCTCCCTCTCCTACTCTCTCTTCGACGGTTCTTGTGTTCCGTCCATCGAGCGCGGGCGAATGGGATTTCTGCGCTACAGTCCAAACCTGATCCCCCCGCCGCGGTTCCCGAGGCAACGACCGGTAGTTTGACTGATTGTTTTGGGTGATCATTTGTGTACATTGATCGATTGGCTGATTCAGTCATTACATCAAATCGATGCGCCACGTGGCAGTCAATCTGTCAATCAGGGAGGCCACGTGGTAGGCAGGCAGGAGCACGTGTGGTAGGCAGGCAGGAGCACGTGTGGTAGGCAGGCAGGAGCACGTGTGGTAGGCAGGCAGGAGCACGTGTCTTCCCTCGCCGGGATCGCGATCCCAGCCGCTTTAGTAGGGGTACTTGAAGCGCTGAAGCCGCGGCTTAAACGGCTGCAGACGACGATCATTCGCTACACCAATCAACCAATCAATCAATCAATCAATCAATCAATCGACCAACCAATCAACCAACCAATCAAGCAAGCAAGCGATCGACTTCGCATTCGTTCTCTCGCCCTCTCCATATCTGCTTTCTTCGTTCTTCCGTCTTGTCTTTTTTTTTGATTTTTGATTTTTTGTTAACCAACCAATCAACCAATCAAGACATCGAGTCCCGTTGATCGACGACGATTGATCGCCGTTGATTGCCCAGATGGCTGACGTTCATATGGACGGCGCGTACGTTCCAGCGCCGGCGCCAGCTGCGGCGGGGCGGGAGATGTCAGAGGCGCCAGCTGCGTTGACAGGGGGAGGAGGGAGTGTAGCATCGCGCGGGCCGCAGAGGAAAAAAAGGACCGTACATCAGAATCTCGGTGGTGGCAAGTGTAAGTTTCTCTCTCTCTCTCTCTCACACACACCCACACACACACATTCTCTCTCTCACACGTCCTCTCTTTCACTCTCGCTCTCACTCGCTCGCCCTCTTCCTCTCTCACTTTCTCTCTTTCTCTCTGCGCCACGTGTACTTGTCGCGCGTGCTGTTCTGTTCCGATGTGAAGGGAAAAGTGCAAGCTTCTCTCTCTCCCTATCACTCTCTCTCTCACTCTCTCTCTCTGACCTTTTCCCTCTCTCACTCGCTCTCTCCCTCTGACCTTCTCTCTCTCACTCGCTCTCTTTCTCTGCGCCACGTGTACTTATCGCGCGTGCCGTTCTGTTTTCATGTGAAGGGAAAAGTTTAAGTTTCTCTCTCTCCTTACCTCTGTCTCTCTCTCTCTCTCTCACGTGCTCTTGTGTCTCTGCGTTGCTGTTCCATCTTACCAGTCTCATCAATTCAAGAGTATGTGCGTGGGAAGTGCATATGAATGCTTCCCCTCCC